CCAGCGGGCGGGAACAACAACCGGGCATGCGCAGGACGGAAAGGGGGGCTGAGGCACGAGATTGGCGTATAACAGAAAAGAGGGGCGAGAAAAACGATGCGGGCCGCGCGGGACAGGAGGACACACGCGGGGAGGGAGCGCCCCCCCCCCCCCCCCCCCCCTCGTAACTTGCACATCATTTTTCTAATGTTTGAAGGATAACGAAATAATCGCGCTTATTCGGAAAAGCACCCAACTCCCACCTGTAAGGGTTTTTTTGTATTATCCTAAATTTGAGATATAAGCGCCCCGGGAACATTCACTTCTTTTAATTCCACTTTTGACGAGCTGGAAATTGACGTTGTGGGCCTCAGTGATTCACAACCTTCAAGGGTTCGTTGCTGTTTCTGTTTATGGATATTTATGGATAATTCTCCTTAGCTTTGCTCTAGTAGGCGAAAAGTTAGAGCGGGTCCCAAATAATTCACTAGTCGGGGCTTTAACTTGAAAAAGGTAAAACGACAAAAACAGCCTTCATAGAATAGTTTAATATAAGAATGTTCCACATCGTATGGTTATAGTATCGATGTACATCAGTTCACTGTGATTTCTTCTGTACAAAATTGAATTATGTTTTTGGACCAACTGTTGGCTCTCTGACCAGAAGCATGGCATGGTGCAAATCAAAAAGCGTAAATGCTAACTTTCACTAGTAATGGAGTTGGAATCGTAATCAGAAACCCAGAGCATAAAGATCCAATTACGCTTACAACTGCAGCGTCGCATATGATCTAGTGAAAACTCCGATGATCTTCCAGTTGTTAAATCTTTCTCCCGCAGTTTAAATACGGGAAGTTTCCTGATCTATTCATTTTCAGTGTAATCTAGGTTGTCAGAATTGAAAACAGAAGTGAAAGACCTAGACCAAACACAATGCGTGAGAAAGAGTACTGTGATTCGCCTATTTCTCAGTTTCTACTTTCGACTGTGAGATTTTTGTATATTTAGAGGTATTGTAAATATGCTATAAAAATTACGATAAAAAAATCGTTATTCCTGCGGCAAGCTCTCTCTTTGAAAGTTTAACGGATGTTATGGATTCTCATTACATGCTTGATTGACAATGCACTTGGTACTGTGGGGAGAAATTATATGTTGATCTACGTTACTGNTAAATCTTTCTCCCGCAGTTTAAATACGGGAAGTTTCCTGATCTATTCATTTTCAGTGTAATCTAGGTTGTCAGAATTGAAAACAGAAGTGAAAGACCTAGACCAAACACAATGCGTGAGAAAGAGTACTGTGATTCGCCTATTTCTCAGTTTCTACTTTCGACTGTGAGATTTTTGTATATTTAGAGGTATTGTAAATATGCTATAAAAATTACGATAAAAAAATCGTTATTCCTGCGGCAAGCTCTCTCTTTGAAAGTTTAACGGATGTTATGGATTCTCATTACATGCTTGATTGACAATGCACTTGGTACTGTGGGGAGAAATTATATGTTGATCTACGTTACTGTGTTCCTTCTCTGATCCAACAGTTGGTCCTTAATTTTATTCAATGTCCTCAGGTCTGACAGGATCTTTCATTGGAATCACTGACTTCTTTTCTTTGTCACGCGATAATGCTTTGCGCATGTCTAAGGACAAAAAGTAGTTTCATGTAAGCCACCATCAAATGTCTTGACAAAACCCTTAAACATCAAAATGGAAGCTACGGAGTATTGCTTTCCTGTGTTACTGTTTATGAGCAGTAATTTCTAGTGTTTTCAAGCTGGTTCTAACTTTTGAGTCTGTTGAAGAAATCCTAAAGTGTGACCATACAAACGAAAGCTACTGAGCAGTGCTTTCCTGTGGTACTGTTTATTATGCTGTACAAGGTGGTTCTCACTTTTGCATATGTGGATGAATTCCTCAAGTGTGACCATTCAAATGAAAGCTACTGAGCAGTACTTTCCTGTGGTACTGTTTATTGTGCTATACAAGGTGGTTCTTAATTTTTAGTCTGTGGATGAAATCCTAAAGTGTGACCATGACTGTCCTGACCCTCAACAGTACAAGGTTTAAAGGCCCTCACCATAGGCATCCTCATCAGGATCACCAGAATAGTATTCTAGTACTCGGCGATAAATGACATAACCAAGCTGCTTATACATGTCAACAGCAACATTATTGCTCATACGAACAAACAAGTCAACAAAATATGCGTCTTTCCTAAAAAAAAAGGACAAATAGCTCTTTTAAACTCATTATGCCATTATTTGTCACAAAAAAGTTCCAATAGTCAGTTGCTTGTTGAAGCATTTAACAAGAAAAATGAAACTTAAAAACGTTACTCAACGTTTGGTTGTTTCAAACATCATTATCAAGAGTGAGAAATGTTACATTTTAAATTTGTTTAAAGAGTTTGAATTAATAGGATTGTATTTGTGCATGCTTCATTATTAGGAAGATTTCTTAACAGAAAAGCTTAGCACAAACTGAAAAACAAACAAGATTTATTTTATTCAGAGGCAATTATAATCTTAATATTGCCACAAATATACTTCTCTGAGATTTCCTCCAAGTTTGACATCAGTCTCGCTGCAAGTCCCAGTCTGCGGTATTCAGGAGCGACAGTTACTGCGGTAACATGGCCATGCCACTCTTCTTGCTGCACACTGCCTTCAGCTTTCCCCATAACTAGCAATAACACAATGTATATTAATGAATACATAACGACTTAGAGGTAGCAATTCCACTAGGTGGTTTTTCATCAACCTGAATCCTGGTCAAATTGGAATCTAGAAAAGTTGGTTTTGAGGTGAGGGGAAAACCGGAGCACCGAGAGAAAAACCTTTTGGAGCAAAGGAGAGAACCAACAACAAACTCAACCCACATGTGGCGTCGATGCCAGGACTCAAACCCAGGCTACATTGGTGGGAGTCGAGTACTGTCACCACTGTGCCACCCTTGTTCCCCCGAATGCAATGGAATAACAGGTGAGCTTTCATGTGAAAACATGATATCTTCACAGGTGAAAATCAACAAGAGACCAATATATTGATCAGGGAAATGACAAAAGAATCACTTACTGTAACCCATAATTTGTCCAGTTGGGGATTCAACCACTTGGAAATATTCAGGCCAGTGTGCCAGATACTGGAGATAAAATGCTAACCCATACTATGCTAATGTTAAGGATATGATAATGAACACTACATTTTATTGAATGGTTTGTGTAAGAGCTGCTAGTACATGCAACATACAAACTATGACAAAATGGTGAGTAGTTGAAATGTCAGCTTTTGAATCTGTTTATCAATTTCCTAATTCTAAAAAATCCAAACCATACATTTGAAAACAACTATCATGATTTTCTATTTACTATTTGTAAATGTGATAGCCTTAAATAATATGAAGATACTGTTTCTGTCAATGGATCCAAGTTCCTGGAAAGAAAAACAAACACAACAGTTTTCATAGGCAACATAAAAGAAGACAATTGACTATTAGTACATATTAAACATTGTCTGTCAGATCTATGAGTCATTTTGCTACCATGAATAGAATGCACCTATAATTGACCATCCCCTGGATGGGGGAACTCCAGGCAAATTGTACAGGGAATTATAGGGGAATTTGAAAGATTATTTTACCTGGAGGTGGGATAAATGAGGGAGGTTAGGTTTACAACAGGTTTGCACCACAGGGAACCAGGGACTTTAAAGAAATTAGGTCAATCTTAAATCAAGGATATATAGACCACTCATCCAGAAGATAGTGGGCTTACCTTTCTCCTCGTGGTGGAATCATTTGCCGACTCAGCAGACTACATAATCTTAGGTACTGTTATGTAAATCCATTTAAGGGTAAAGAATTAATCAGGTGCAGTTGCAGATCTAGAATAATATTGACCAATTTCCTAAAAAAAGCACCAAGGGTGCAAGTTTCTTATTCTTGGGAAATGTTTTGGATTTTAACTCCCTTAAGTCCCCTTTCCTGGGTTTCTAAGTCATTCAAACAAGATATTGGCCAGTTCCATTCTCCTCAGATAAATCCTTGTCCATGGGCTGATCATTTTGTCAAGGTCAACATCCATATTGTAGTGCATATAAAGCAAGGCAAGTCCAAAAATTTCTTAAAATTTCAACTTGGAAAGTTTTTATTATCAAAAAAAAATTTATCATGAAAAATCTGACTGATTTACGTAAAACAGTGGAAACTGGTGTGGATCCACACCTGAGGTGGGCTGGGTAAATATAATAAATGACATCTTAAGTATTCAGTGGTTTCATGTTGTTCAATACGACACCCCTCTAGTTAGGGAAATTTCTTAACTAAGATTGCTCTGTGCCCCCGTCAAGGAGGAGAAATTAGGCAATTTCACGGGGTCATTTACAAAGTTCCCTCCTTGCTCAGGGTCCCCCTCAGGGGGTGGCTGATGATAGGGACATGAAGCATGGCTTGGAACTAAAACTAAAAAGAAAGGAGAAACATCTTAAAGATGAACACACTGGGTGGCTGATACTCTGTTGGTCTCATTTTCCTGATACCTACTAAACCTTATATTACTGTAAGCAACAACATGAGTTTTAAAAGTCAGGATAATTAGTGATCTGAAGATCTTGGTGGGGCTTCAGGCTAACTAGGCATGTGGTGCAAGTCTACTGCAAAAACCTCCTAAACACAAAATTGCAAAGGGGGCCAGAGTGACGCACACGTAGCATAACTCTCGAAAACCAATTAAAACTTCTAAGAAGGCTAGATAAAAACATTGATTAAGTATAAAAATCCAGGGATATCTAAATGATCAGGGTAAGAATACATGAGATTGCTGTCACATTAAGCAGAAAGGCTTCTATTGTTTGGGACAATACTTGAAAAAAACGCGTCCTGATACTTACACGTTACTAAAGCGAAACATATCATCGCATCTAAAAGGTCTGAGAGTCGTCATTTTATCGAGAAAATCGGCCAGAATCGTTTACATCACTGAAAACTTAAAACAAAATATCATCCAGGCGCTTTCGACGCGTTTCCGCTGGGGGGTCGCTGGGGGTCTCTGTTCTCTAGTGCCCGGGCTTCTGTGGCAGAGGTCCAGCAAACTCAGAACAGAACTCCTACCTACGATACCAAAGATAGCAGTGTTTCTGCTAAAGCCAAAAATAACTCGAAACATGAACTATATTGCGGCTGAATTACCAAATTACTGGAATTCTCAGACAAGTGAGGTGCAGTCTGCAATATGCGAAACCGCGAGAGAACGTAATCTAAGCAACAACAGATCAGTCAATCCGCCTATAAAAATATTTGGTAATACCGTAGAAAAACAGAAAAAGCATTAATTTCCCCATGTAAATGTTTTTTGTTATTCTATTCAAAATTCTGGGAGCTAATGAGCTAATATGCAGATTTCGGAAGTTTTTGTAACTGCTCATGTACATAATCCATTTCTAATGTTTCAATGCATACATGTTTCAAAAACTTGGCGTGACATCACTTCCGTTTAATTGCGTTTAAATAGGAAAACAATTTTCATTTCAGAGTCCTGCATGCATGAAGGCTTTTAAGATAGGATGCTATTATGCACACACCATGGAATTTCCGATCTTCATTATTTCCGAGAAAACAAATAAGCTTACGTAGATTTGTGACCAGTGGGTCCCGTTGAGAGGGACAATTCGTAATTTGAGCGCCAGGGTTCTCATGAGAGACAGGAAACCCGACAAATGTCACGATTTAGCGAGTTACGTTTATCCGGATAGTGCACAGATCATTTCCACTCTCGCCATTCTCGAACCACAGATACTTGTTCCGACAAATCTTCATCAAGTTAATACGCCGCACAGTACAGAGCGAAGAAGACATCTTGAATTGAATGTGTATTTTGGTCTCTAATTGGCACGTGCTGTGTGAAGTTGATGTTTATTTCAGTCATCGAATTGAGGCTCTGTGAAGACAGGCCCTAAAACAACATGGCGGAGCTAATGTTTGGGGCTGGTTGAATGTCGTTTTAAGCAGTTTTATATCGAAAATTCTCCGTATTATCTGGGGATTATACAAAATTTAAGCAAAATGGATCTAACGGTATTTTATGTCTCTCCTTGGATGATGTTAGGACTCATTTTGGGCACCGTGTACTTCGTGCTGGTGTTATTGGGCTACGAAAATCGTAATGAGAATAAAACGAGGAAAAAATCAGAGGACGTTTTAACGTCATCGACAAGAACCCCCAGAGATGTCACTGGGCAGAAAAAAGTGCAAACCGCAGAAGAGAAACCTGGTTTTGTCGTGCAGCGAAAAGAATCAGATGAGCACAAATCAGGCGCAAGAAAGCAAATTGACGAAACCTCCTGTTCTTATCAAAGATCCTCTCCTTATCAAACCACAACCGCATTCGAGGCAAGAAAGTCGAAAGTCGCACCTGTTGACAATGAGAAAGGAAAAGAATTACAAGTTGAAAATAGTCTTGAGGCTTCGAAGATTGAAGACATTTTGCAAAGTCAAGATGCTCTGTACTTGCAAGAGTTCAATGTTCCTGAAGGATTCATCACCCAGAGACTGCGTATCCGAGCGAGTTCCCATGGTAGCGATCATTCCAGGGAAGATTCTGAAGAAACTATGGAAAAAACTGACGGTTTGGAGTCATCGACAGATAAAGAAACCGAATTATGTGAGATTGTATCGGAGACAGTTTCTAATTCGGTTAGTTCAGCCCATGTAGGACAAATTTTTAATGATACTGTTGTACCTGACATTAATGGGCAACCAACCGAATCGAACAATGCCATGGAATCCACAGCTATAAAGGAATCAGGTATATTTGGGGACTTTGCAGATCTCATGGTCACCAAGGCTAAGGAGAGTGCATTTCATAAAATTGATCTTGAATCAAAAGCAAACATTTATGCAGATGAAATTTCCTCTCGGATTGTCTCTGATGCTATTGGGCAATTTGCTAACAGTTCTCTTTCTGGTCCTGAAGACTTTGATACCTCAGAGGTTCAGGAATTGCATAGTTTTGCTGAAAATGTTGTTAAATCATTAATGGACGGTGCTTCTGATAATGTATCTTTATTCAAAGATGTTGTGGCATTTGCCCAAGACGTGAGTGAACAAGTTATTCTCGAAGGAATAGAACAATATACCACAACAGAAAAGTTAGAGCAAGGGAGAAGGCAGAAGATATCTCTCAGTGAAATGAAATTATTCAGTGAAGGCATTGTAAGTGAAGTTGTGTCAGAAGGAATTGAAGAAGCCATCAGAGAAGGCGAAAATGTTAAAGAAAATAATTTTGCCAGTAACAGCATAGTTGAACCAGGGCATGCTGACTTAGCGGATCAAACAGTGACTGTTTCAAGCGCAATACAGCCTCAAATCTGTGGCATTGTTGAAAATTTGGTAAATGGTGCAATATACGAAGCTTTATTACGAGCAAAAGCACAATGCAGTGAGAAATCATTAGAGGATTCTAAACTTGAGGGGTGTGCGCAGGAAATTCTGGAATCTCAGGTCAATGATACAGTGCAAGAATTAATCGTTTCTGCATTGCACCAGGCTGTTGACTTAAAAGAACTGGAAAGTCAAGAAGGAGATGAACCTAATCGGGAAGACACAAGTGAGCTCAAATCACAAATGGAAACATTTGTAGATGACACTTTGAATGCAGCAGTCACTGAGGCTGCCGGGAAAGTTCAAATTGAACAGTATGTTTCTGATCAGGAGGGAAAAGTGTTAAATGGTCATATAGATCTTACTCTTGAAAAAGATGTACACCAGCAATCTGATAATGTTCGTCAAATTTCTGTCAAATTAGCTGATGATGATGAAAAAACCAATGAAACAGAGCATCAAGGAGTTGATTTAGTGCCATCAAGCGAATGTATGAATGGGAAAGAGTTGAATTCAAGAGAAACAGAAACCAACGAACAAAATGATTATTGGAGGAGAAGTTTGATAATGGATTTGGAAGATAATGAAGAATTTGACGAGAGCTTTGAAAGTGAAAAATCTCGACCAATCACAGAGAAGGAAACAGTTTCTGACGAAGATGCAAGTGAAGAATTTATTGACTCCTCAGAAGATGAAGTGATCGATCATGCAGAGGATGCGAAGTTGGGTGCTGTTGGTGGGTCAAGTACTGCAAAGTATAAAGGCGGCGACAGTGATGTTGATGACATCTTTGAAGATGAGTTAGATGATGATGATGATGATGATGACAATGAGGAAGATCTGCTCTTTGCTGGACAGACAATGGTGGATGGGCTATGTGTGAGCAAACCTAAAGAAAAGAGGAGAAGTAGGAAGAAATCAAAATCCCTCCCTAGAGCAAGAATACAGTCAGGTTGGTACTTGGGGGGAGGGGGAGGGGAAGGAAGGAAACCTTTCTTCCCCACACCCTCCCTGCTCTTTCAATATATATTCAAACCCAGTTATTACACAAGAGGCCATTCAATTGCTCAAGGCCACCTGTAGACGATTTATCTGAGCACATGGCAGATAAACAACTGTCACGGAAGAATTAATATAAAAGTCACTGCAAATAACAGTCCTATTCAAGACTACGTTCACCTAGACGATCATACTCAGTTTACTTAGTAACATAATGTTATGTGAATAATTCCTTTTGTGGTTGAGGGTGATTTGTCTGATAATGAGAGGGTCATTTATTTGTTCAAAAGGCTTATTCAAAAAGTTCTTTGAATGAGTGAATGAATTGTGTGCAATTGTATGTGACCATATAATTATGTACTACAGTAAAAACCCACATATAAGAACCTAGTGATTTAAGAACCTACAGGCTGGAATTTGGCATTTAAATACCCAAAAATAAAAGAACCTTTTCAGCCTGGCAAAGAAAAATAGATTTTTATACAAAAATAATCACTTCAATTTTGATGGTCAAAATTCTTGATTTTAATTTTGTGGGAAACTTTTGACAAAAGGTTATTGTGTATATGTTTTTTTTTTATTTACATTTGTTTGGATTTTCACTAGAAGTATGTTTTCCATAAAGCTACCATACAATATAGACTATTCAATATCTTAATATCTTATTTTAAAAAATATAGAAACATATTGATGTTCTTCTTGGACCTTGATTGTTTGCCATTATGTATTAGTAGTACAATATTTCTGCCAATGGTTACGCTATGACAACCTCTGAAAAATAAGAACCTTTTAAGAACCTAATCAGCCTGAAATTGTGAAAAACTACCCTAAAATATAAGAACCTGTTCAGCCTGAGGTCAAAAATTCTAGGTTCTTATATGTGGGTTTTTACTGTACTGTCTTGGCAACAAGATTGCATTGAAACTATGATAGTTTTTCTCAGCCAGGCATAATGCCATTATAGAAGCCAGCTGTTTGCATCCTCATTTTTAAATTATCTGATTGTGTGGGGAAGAGTTCTATGGTATCCTTGAAAACCACCAAATAATTAGGTGCACAAAAAGTATGTGCATGTAACTGTTTAGCACTTTACAGTAAATATTTCAAAGGTGAAAATCATCTACTGCACTCAAAAATTAGAATAAAGATGTTTTTTGAGACTTCTAGCTGATGATTTGGTGGTAGCTGTATAAAATGGTTGCTATTTTTTGGAGGGACGTGTATAATTTTTTAGCAGGTGCCGAACAAAGAGTGTCAAACACTCAGTTTGGACAATCACCAGCTCTTGCTAGTAATTTTCCCATTTTCTTGTTTCTTGGGCTACTGATGAAAAGTGGACCTTAAGTGCAGATCAGTTTCAAACAAAACACTAATAATGTCCTGTAAGTATAGAAGAAGAGAATAAATCCATTGAATGTCGATCAGACTTCAGAAGATATCCATTCGTTTAATGCCACAGTTCTGTTTCATATGGTCAAAAGATGACCACACTCATCAGGTAATTTTAACGAATGACCCATACATTTCAACACTAGCGGCTGCATTTCAATATGGAGCTGATATTGTAATCATTGTAAAACTAAGAAGCACTTTGAGAATGATGGCACTATAAAATGTTTTTGATCATTATGTTCATCTCAGTCAAATTGAATGTTGTCAATTTTTTTTTTTTTCCAGCTGGTTCACACTACAACCAGGCTGTTGTGCTTGACAACGGATCTGCAATCATTAAACTAGGCATAGCTGGGGACAGGAAGCCCAGAGTCGTACAACCAGCTTTGTACGGAATCCCCAAGCGATACTCATTACAAATGGCTGGTATGGACAATAGGAAGGATCGGACATATGGAGATGGTGCAGCAATGAGGGCAGGAGTTATGCAGCTAGGTAATTCTTTACACCCCAATATCAACGTAGAAATTCTCCAGACTGATTCTCATGTATTTCTTTAAAGAATTGTTTGAGAGGATTTGAAAGGAGATCAAGAAAGTAGATTTTTTACTTTGGTGATCATTTTATTAACTTTCATAACCTTTTTGTTTGATGATGTAATTTTACAGAAAACTATTCTGATCTGCTTCCCAAGAGCTTTTACATATGGAAGATCTAACCCTTAATATTAGCAATCATAATTATTCTCCACACTGATCTACATACATTTCCTGTGGCTATGATGAGGAGAATTGGTTTTACAATCAGGAGCTTTTCTATCTTGTTAATCACCTCCTAGCAAGCATTTCCATTTGTTTTTGGAGCAAAGAAAGACTGAGGAACGGGATTTTCGGTTTTTTCCAAGCAAGAAATGGAACGAGATCCAAAAAATGAAAGAGGGGCGAGGGGAAGTAAACCTTTCTCCCCCCCCCGCCTCCCTGCCCACTCTTTTACTCACACCATTTTCCACGCGGTCTTTGACTCTCATTCCTCGTTCTTCACTCTGAAGCCACTCAGAAACACTTGCTATGCGGGCTAGGTGAAACTGGATGTTAGTTACTAATGGGAGTTAAAGAGTTAGCGGTTGTAGAATCACAGCTGTCATTAAGGGCTAGGAGCAAGGACTTCCCCCAGCTTCTACCAATGTGAATACTGGCTACTTTCATCGATGAACAGAAGAAAATTAGAACCAAAAGAAATCCCTAGCTCTTTGATTTCCCATGTACAGGTTGTATTTATAGTGATGACTTGGAATATTAGTGACAACCCTGAACAATGAAGAGGGCAAAAGGTATATTTTAAAAGTTGGTCTAACTTTTGAGTCTGTTAAAGAAGACCATGAAACAAGAAATAATTTGAAATTTTGATGTTTATAGAGTACCCAATGAGCGGTGTCTTCCTTGACAACTGGGCTGATGTGGAAGACATCTGGGAATACATGCTTTACAGTGAATTAGGAATTGAGGAAGGAAATCATCCTGTACTGGTCACAGAAGTTGCCAACACATCCAGAAGGGATAGAGAGAAAATGGCTGAGGTTTGTTGCATTGCACCTTTATGCGGTGGGGAGGTTTGTGGGCCTTGGTGATCCTGAAGGCTATACCAGTTGGGGCCTCAGTTGACTTACACTTGAGGGTTACTTCAAATTTTTCTACCTTTCCCTGCTTGTTGTTGAAGTTTATTAAATGAAGATGCATATTTTCCCTAGTCCATGGGGGAAAGGGACTAAGTCAAGTACTTTTAAGCTCAAGGTCATATGGTTAAAAAAAAGGCCATACTTGAGACTGTTCTTTATTTATTTATTTTTTTTTTTGACAAAAATTATCACTTTGGCACGTGGCCCTTAAATTAATACAATAACTTTTTTTTAAGATTACCAACATGACCAACGTAACGTCAAGTTATACATGACATTATACAAACAGATAAGTTGAAAGCAAATAGGCTTGGCTCATCTAAAAAGAAAGATGGAAGAGGAGTGAAAATGATTAAAGAGAGGTGTGTGGATGGTGGATGATTTGGCTGGAGAAAGGAGTAACATTGTTATGAAATCACTGATTTTGAGGTTACAGATTTTATTTTCATTTTTTATATATATTTTTTTTTCTTTTTTAACAGGTTCTATTTGAGCACCTCAGCGTTCCAGCAATGTATCTTGCCAATCAACTGGTCCTCTCGCTGTATGCATCTGGTTTAACACAAGGCCTCTGTTTGTCTTCTGGATCTTCTGTAACACAGGCTGCGGCGATTTATGAAGGACATATTTTAGCATATACTGTGCAAGAACTTGACATTGGTGGAAAATTGCTAACTGATAATCTGCAAAAGCTTCTGAGGGAGAATAAAGGCCATATCTTCAATTCGTCATCTGGATGGCAGATTGTAAATAACATGAAAGAGAGCATGGCATATGTTTCACAAGGTAAGTAAAAAGAAAGGTAAAGGCGCACACGAGCCAAAGCCCCAAACGGCCGGAGCTTAACCCGATTTCCTTAGCACGAAGCAAGCCTAGGAGTATTACTACTCCCCCCTGGTCAGGATGCTAGTCCATCACAGGGTTACCCCCTAGCAGTATGTCGTTGGTACCCATTTATATACCCTGGTAACCTGCGAGTAAGCTCTCCTATTTGGGCGAGCGAAGCGAGCCGCGCAAGAACACGCAAATGGAGAGCTTGCTGGCAGGCTAACACAGGGGTGAAGAGAGACAAAGTGGAGTAAAGTTCCTTGTCTAAGGAAACAACGCGACGGGCGAGGCTTGAACCCCGGACCTCCTAGTCCGGAGTTCGAGGTGTTGACCGCTCGGCCACACACGCCTCCAGCAGAAGATAGAGAGCAGAAACACATCGTAGAATTTCGTTTAATGACTCAAAAGTTAGAACCACCGCACAATTAAGGGCTTACAAAACTCCACAATTCACTTCGGAAGCAAAAAAGTCTAATCCTTATTTCTCTGTTACAGATTATTCTTCCGAGATGAAACAGTTTAAAACCAGTGACGCGCTAACTCAGTTTTACAGCCTCCCAGATGGTCAGACAGTGGACATCAGCAGCGAAATGATCACCACTCCGGAACCTTTATTCAATCCAGAGACTCTCCTTGGTGCAGACGACACTATCGCTTCTCAGCTTCCCATCCACAAGTTGGTGAACAACGCGTTTGGAAGGTATACACCGTTTATACTTATTTTGTTTTTAATGAGCCTTGTATCTCATCTTTTATTTCATCTTTACCTTTCCCGGGTATCTTACCAACCAGTTTAATGACCAACTACCAGTATGCTTTCTAGCTCAATTTGTTAGAGCGCTGCACAGGTATCGCAGATGTCAGGGTTCGAATCTTTTTCAGGCTCTCTTTTCGCAAGATCAGAATTTGAATTCTCATTTGTTGCCCCTATTCATTTCCTACAGAAGTAGTGGGGAGGAGTTGATAAAATAACAAGAAAATTCATCTTGAGTGATCATGTCCATAATTCTCATGACTACTCTGTTTTACAAAGCATTGATATTACAAGGAGAAATTTGACGCTGATCACTCTTAGGGCTTAAAGGGTTAACTTTGATGATCTACTTTGCATGTATTCCTTTTATTTCTAATACGCCAAATTTTTTTGACAATGACATAAAGCTTAGTTAATGCCCCACAAAAAAAATAAAACAGGAAAACAAACAAATGGGTAAAGAGGTCCCTTGCCAAGACGATATATCGTACCAAATCGCGCACAACGAAATTGCTGCGTGTATCCACCTCCAAATGTACTCTGTACCTGTACTTTAGTTCCGCTTCGTAGCGAGCGATGAAACGTGCAGCTTTCCACATCTCGCTTACACGACATTTTCATTCGTGAGCTTAAGCCGCGAGCACGTTGACGTATAGTAATCGGAACTCCTGTTGGATGACGTTATCGAGTTAAACCACTGAAAGATAGGAGAGATCAACTTCCGGTGGTTATATTTGACGTACGGGACGTGGAAGTTCTCGTTTTTAGTGAGATTACGCAAGAGGACGGCAAAATGTTCGTGTGTGACAGACGTGATAGGGCTATCACTTGCGTGTTTTGTCGTGATCTTCACTTAACATTAACGTTTTCTAGTCTTTTACAAAAAGATCTCTATAAAGGAAAGTGAAATTATTTCAAACAAAATTATTGTCACGCTTGTCACTCAAGGTTTGCCGTCTTCTTGCCTCTCCCATCCTGTTCCGTAAGTTCACTATCAGCAAAGCAATAACTCTGCACTTGTGTTTTAAATTTTACTCAAATCATTAGTTCAGAATTCCTGAACTTGCCTTACAATACCCGCAACTGAAACTGCCGCTTATGACTCCCCCCCCCCCCCCCCCCCCCCCCCCCCCTTTGGAATGGGGGGGGGGGGGGTCTGTTTAAAAACCCCCTTTCAACCCCCCCCCCCTTCTTTTTCCTAATATTTTTTGGCAACCCCCGCCCCAGCGCCAAAAAAAAATTTTTTAAAACAAAAAAAAATAACCCCTGTGGTGCCTTGTTTTATGCACAAACCCCCCCTTTTTCTTAAAATTACCAATCCGAAAACAAAAACCCTCCCCATTTGTTTTTTAATTTTTCCAAAAAATTTGTCTCAAAATTCCCAACTTTCCCTACCAAAACCCCCCACCCAAACCCCCCCTTTATCCCCCCCCCCCCCCCCCCCCACCTTCCCCTCCCCTTTGGAATAGGGGAGGGGATGGTCTCGTTAAAACATCCCATTCAACACTGCCCAACTTTCTTATCCATGAATTTGTTGAGCACACTGCGCAGCATGGCACAATCAAGTTTTTGTAACTCAGAAAAGTACTACACGTATGGTCCTGTCTTTGAATGCATAACCCCCGCTGAACACATCGGTTGATTTGTCTTTCGTGTTTCACAGATGTGCTCCCGATTTACGAGACATCATCCATCGCAATGTCGTTCTATCTGGTGGAACGACCCTCACGAAGGGACTGGTTCCAAGGCTGGAACACGAGCTCAGCAAAATCAATCCAAAGATACGCTCACTTAGTGCGCCTGAAAACAGAATGTATTCACCATGGATCGGGGGCTCAATTCTGGGCTCCTTGTCAACGATGGATAACATGTACGCTACGATTGATGAATATGCAGACTACGGGGGGAGAATTATAAATCAGAAATGTTTTTAAGGTGGACGATTGTTGTTTAATGAATAATTTTTTAACGAAAAATCTAGGAGTATGTGCACGTTCTCATCGTATGCACCTAATTCCAGAATGTTGTCAAAATTCAACCTCGTTTCCAGGGTTCTATACTACCCGTCTCTCGCGCGCCATAGGAACGAGCAGGAGAGAACCCTGGGAACGAGGCTTGGCCAAATTCAATTTTCTTTTAATTAGTCGTCTTTGCCTCGGTTGCAAAACCTTCTGCAGAATTCAAAAGAACCTTTGCGTTGAAACGAGACGTCGAAGAAAAAATATAGCTAGATTTACCACTATTTTGGATAATGGTGTTTACGTTGGCGTGCACCTAAACGATTAAGGGTCATTAAGGAAGTCTGGGTTGCCGCGGTCAGGGAATAGTTAAGGAAATGCGTTTAAGTTGGGGAAAATCTTAGTTACCGGCAAATCAAGTGAAAAGGGGAGGGGTAGGTGGGTAGTTTCCCAGAAACGTATAACACTAACATGTCGTGAAAAACAGAGAGATTGAAAATAAAAGGGAATATTTATGGCCTGGAAAAGAACTGAGAAAGGTCAAGTTTCTAAGTAAATCCTGTACAGGTCAAGGATTTGTTTTCATTCCAGGGTGTGGCAAACCCGCCTATACAAATATAAATACATTAATATAAGAATTACTTGAAAATATCGCATTACAATTACGTATTAATCCCAGACAAAAGATGGGAAATGAAACACATTTTAAACTATGACTTCAGCTGTTATTTTAGTTTAGTAGCTTCAGGCTCGTGGAATTTTCCTGAAGTTAATATATCGGTCAAATCGAAGCTTCAGCATCACCCTGGACAACCCCCTGGAGCTTTATAATTTTTGGAAAACTAGTGTTGAAATTCCCCCCTCCCCGGGCCAAAAAGCCGTTCAAATACGCCATTACCAACTTCTTCCCCAGGGCTTTTCCCTTGGCCCCGCCCATTTTTAAAGGGAAAAGCCCTGGGGACGAGGTTGGCCATTACGGGTCCATTTTAGGAGACGCTGGGGATTCTAACTCAGTGCCGGATCCAGACCTTGAGTTAAGGGGGGGCGGTCATCCAGACCCTTAGATAAAGGGGGGGGCCGGTCTTCCAAAAAATTTTTTTCAGCCTTTCGGGCCTCGTTTGGTCTAACAAGGGGGGACCCGGGCCCCTCCCCTGGATCCGCCACTGTTTTCCCACCCTTATGCATAGGAATCAAATTCCCCACCTCCCAGAAGACTATGATTGTCAAATTCCCTTCACTGGGGAAGTCAAAGGTGTCAATTCCCTGGCGTAAACCGGGAGATCGTGGTGCTGAAGCTTCCGCAGTTTGACCGATACTCCAGTAAGTCGAGAGAAAAGATGCAATTTCTAGATTTCCTGATTGGTTCCTATGGTTGAAGTTATTGACATCCGCGGTGAATTACGTCTGGTGAACACGAGCTTTCGCCTACAACCGACACCCATATTATGTTGTATTGTCATATGGAACCCCTGCGTTATATGAAACAGAAACATTGCAGTGAGTTTTAGCCATATTCTAGCATATCACCCACCTATTTGGAGGAGGGAGGCTGCCACCGTGAACTCCCTGACCCACCCCGGCCGGAGCACGTAGACTTGTTCCCACCCGTTCCATTTGTTCGGAGAAGAAATCTTTGAAAACGAATTGCGTCAAGGGAAAGCCGAAGGACCTTCCCAGCTCCCCTTGCAATCATCATCTTGACACAACTGGCCCTTGTTTTTCAAAATGAGTGTCAATTCGAAGTCTTGGTTAGGAAGACATTGCCTTTTCTCGTGCAAGTAAAACTGATTTTCACATGGAAGGTATCACTCGAACTTGTTTTGCAAATGAAGTTGAGAATGACCCATTTCTATCCAGCCTTTTGTCGTTTTTTTTTTTTTTTTAACTGGGAACGACTCTGTCTTGGATGTGCTCGGAAACATGACGTGCTTATTTTTTGGAGGGTCCATGTGGCAGCTCCCATTAGCATTTTTATAAGTAGTATAATGCTTGTTTGTACAATGAATACAAGTATTTTTAGTATTTTTTTTTAAATAACTTGTTTCTTTCTCGTCGTCAAACAACGAGATATAGAACTACTCCACAATTAAGTTTTCGATTAAGCGCTAGTTTACAAATCACTTACATTATGACACAAATCACGGTAAATAAATGGTTAAATTTGTATGAACTTTTACTGTTATTGCAAACATGACTATACAATTCTTTTCAATAGGAAATAAAATAATTGTAAAAATCTAGAGGTTATACAAATTTTGCATTAATTAAAGTACCGTTGTATAGTGTAGCCTGTCTTCTACCTGATGTGTAAGGGTCCGCTGCAATGGTCTGGAGCTCTGCTCACACTAGCACCGACTGAAACATGTTCAGACTAAACATATGTCGGTGATAGCCGTGAAAATATTGTAAATGTTCTCGACTTTCAATTCGTTGTGCTTCAATTGTGCACGCCACAATGAAGAGACTGCTTCAAAAGTGCTGCTTTGGGAACCCCAACATGGTCACCCAAATCGAGGTAGACCTTGAACTAAGAGATGCCATGCTCGATCAGGTCGTGTGGAAAGATTTTTATTAGGACGGCTCGGGATAATTCCCGGCCTAAGTAATGAAGCAAGTGCTTCAATTGAGACGGTTTTGAATTATTTGTAGTGAAACATGTTTTACTTGCAAGTGTGAACACAACATGAGACACGATCATGTAGTTTACCTTATCTCGGCTAACCCCTAACTGAGCCTGGTTTCGAGATAATCGTCCGGGTTCAAATCGATCGTCCGAAATGTCTGAAAATTTATTCAGGTGATCGGAACGATCACATAAAAACACTTGTAGTGCGACGCTGTACGATCCGGGCAGTGTTTGGGATTGTCGCTTTCGCTTGGATATAGGATGGTTTCCATATAATGACCTAAGCCCAGTTGTTCGAAAGAAGGATAGCGTTATCCATTGGATAAATCTCTTTTCAGTGGATGGCGCAATTGGTTTTCCCAATACTTAACCTCTGGAGAGTGATTTATCCAGTAGATAGCGCTATCCAGCGTTTGAACAACCAGGGCCTGGATGGTCTCGATCGTCCCAATGTCCAGCCTATGTACAGCCTTCAGTTCAAGGGTTTGCGATCGCCCCAGACATCCAGATCGCCCTACATGGTATCAAGAGGGCAACAGAAGGGCCCAGACCTCCCAGCTTCCGCCCCTGTTTTCTTTGCTTCGTACAAAAGGGCTGAAGGGGCGACCTCCCTTTAGAGTGACTTTACTTAACCCGTGAAATAGGTAGTAGAATACTACGCGCTATTATGCACTACTCCCATTGTCTTCTTTCGTTTACTAGTAGCTATTTTGGACTAGTGGTTGTTATGTTTCACAAGTCAAGTAAAATCACTCTAGCCCTTTTTTCGGTTGCGAAATATTAAGCACTGCTGCGTAATTTCCCCGATTTCTCTCGCTTCCCTTATTTATAGAACTCTCCTTCCCGCGCTTGAAATTGAAATTGAAAACTTGCAGCAACTAGCTCAAGATTCTGGCTGGTGCCTTCCATATATGGGAGGAAGTGTTATTTTTCTGTCCCTGAACACTGAAAAAGATAGATCTGAAAAGTGATCATTTCTTAATGTATTAGCTAAAGTAATGTTGATTGAATAACACATGTATAGAAACGTAAGGATGGCTCAATAATCGCTATTAGCGTCTAAAATTCTAAAATCATTCAAATACTCACTACGTTGCCCTGGAGGAAAATTCAGGCTTCCTTCTGATCGGATCTTCATTCTATATTGACATGAGTCACGTACACAATGTCTAAAATATCTTTTTCACTACAAATTGAATGATATTTGTAAGTCTGAAGGCGAATCGAGCCTTCTCCAGTTCTTTTGTTAATGGCAAAAAAGTGACTGTTTTAGAAATGGTGTGGAATGAAACTTTGCTAAACCATTTTCAATTTTTCGATATTCGGCTATCATTTTCTTTAATTATATCACGGATGCTTTTAACTGAGGTTAGAAAATCACACAACGATTTTATGTCATCACAGCCTGAGAGAACTTGAACTGATCTGTGCAGTCAAAAATATCGTGAAAAAGTCAGGTTTAACTGCAAGCTGTAATAAGACAATTGTATTAAAATCTAGTTGACTGTTTGTTCTACTGAAGTGAGAAATACTTCGCGAGGTCAGATCATAATTTATTCATGAACAAGAAACTAAAGATACCAGTGTTTTTATTATTCAAGGGTGAATATGGCTTGCGTGGTATAAGGCCATAATGGGGTCCAGTGTTTAAAGGTGTTAACACGATTCTACAGCGAACAGCTTCAATTTAACCCTTCGAAGAAGACGCTGTCCTACTCAGTCGTCATATGCGTTTTTGGTGGGTGGTTTAACAGTTGTTGCTTTTGCGCTTTGTTAGGCCAGTGGTGTAGAGATTTTTTCTACCATCCTTATAGCCTACATCATTTACATTCATACGTCATTTCTCCACCAGTTCGAAGGAATAAATAAATCCAATATGGCGGCCACCAAGCGCTCAGAGGCAAGAATGCTAAGGAAGGACACAGAAAGCGGGCAGAATAGCCCGCGATTCATACAGGTAAAATAGCTTGTGATCGCCATTTCATCTCCTGCGTTGAATAATGAAAATATCTCGAAGAACACTAGAACAAATTTAAAAATCTACATTATATAACTCGTATCTTGACAATGAGAGTGCCATGCCTTTCTCGACTACATCTCGGGGGCTCATCTCACATGATTCCAGTTAGCTTGTCTTGACTATTAATAGAGAACTTTAACTACAGTCCGTTGAAGTAGCTATCAGTTATACCCATCCCTGTCAAGGCGGCATGGTTTGAAAGATTCAGCCGGTCACGTCTTAATTACACTTGCATGCATATTAGTGAATTTTAATTTACGGGTTTTGATCCGTATGCTATTGTTTAACACGAACTCTAAAGGAAGCTACGAATTTCCTTAAATAGTTTTGATTCAGCAGCATCAAACGAAAGTGTGATCAATTTCTTCTTTGGTGGTTATCATTATGTTTCATGATAATCGGTGATCAAATCTTCTAAGCATATATCCCTTTCACTTAACTTACTTTTCGTCCATTTCCTCATTTACCGACACGTGCTTATTCACCGTGGTGGCTTTCTGTCACGGTTAAACACCGATTAAGTCTTGGAGAGCTATTCGAAGAAAAGTAAATTATTAATCTTGTAAAAAAAACGTCAATACCCTGCAAACTATATCTTAATCGCATGTTAAATTTGCCAGGCGATTCCAGTGCGCCGGAAACTGCTCCGAAGGTTCTTGGAGTAGCATTCGGCAAAGCACGTAAATTCATACTGTCCGGTCATAGCCTTGAGCTATCCGGCACGCAAGCTCCTTTAAGCTTCTACGATCCTCTACGTGCATACCAACTCAAACATATACAATCAGCTCCCAACCAAATGAGAATAACCGTGACTGAGTCTCTAGCGAAGTAGCTAAATTCATAACGGATCAGGTGATTCAATAACGTTATCCTTCAAACGAAGTCCGTTGATGGATAAGTTTTGTGTTTTACAAACTTATTCAGGGCTTGTGCAAATGGTACTGGTTTTAATTCTTAGAAGTCGAGTTACTTTCCGTAAAATTATAACACTCCACTGCAGTTTATTTTTGTGACATTTCGATGTCTCAAATGACTATCTGTTAGTAGTCCAAGACGCTAAGACTGTCATGTCCTGTCTCATCGTTCAGTGGATAAAGGAACCTGTATAACAGTCTGAATTTCAAAAGGACTCGTCCAGAAACGTAAAAAGGTAATTCTGGACCTGGTTTAAATAACTCAGCATTGGAAAATATGAAATGCCCTGTTAGCCCGTTGGTTTGAGCATCTCAATACCGAGTCGAACCTTTCTCAAGGGCACCCAACGACGGTTTCCTCCTAAATACGTTGAAAACGTTTCTTAGGCTATCAAGAGTACTTTTAGAACTCCACAAATACATTTTAAGAGGCGTTATAAAATTTTGTAGCTGTTCGGTCATCCTAGGGGAACTCGAGTCTTTTCGAAATTACAAGGGTTTCAGTATCATTTTCCCGAGAATTTTAGCCAGTGCAATTTAACGTATGACGAAAGTGAGAATTTTTCTGATTCCTCTCTCCATCGCATTTTTGAATTCGAAAATTTTAGGTTTTCTTTTTTCTTAGAAAAATAGCCTAACCTGAGGAGTGAAGAATTGTAAATGAATGGAAACGATCATCTACTGTTTGGTCGTCCTCAAGTAACAGAAAATTGTAGGCAACATTTGCTTCTCCGAACAGATATTTTACAGAAGATGGTAGTTGGGTGCACCTGCTTAATTGAGCGTCCACTCACATGGCCCGCTCTGTTTAACAGCGGGCCAGATCGCTGTACACATAAATATTAAGCTGCCAACGTTCGTAAAGCGGCTATTTGTTATTTCTCTGAGGTGACAGCTTATTAGAGAGACGGTATTTTCTCCGGTTTCTTTATCAATCTACCCTGCTGAGAGAGATTTCTTTCCGGCATGCCTTTTAGTGTGAACGGAGTCGTTGGTGTAGCGGCCAACCTACGCGAATGTCATCCACACGAACGTCTCCGTACATCAGTGCTAAAAACCGGCACACCAAACACCAAATTGACTCTCCAAGCAGCAAAGTCTCCGATTGGTGTACTAATAGGGCCATTTATACGAGGAAAAATAAGACGCGAACTGTACCATTTATACGAGTATGTCTTATCTAATAAGACGCGTCTTAGCTAAGCCGCGTCTTATTTTAGACGAAATGTGCCATTTATACGGAAAGTTCGCGTCTTATTTAAGACGCGTCTTATGTAAGACGCGTCTTATTTTTCCTCGTATAAATGGCCCTAATATCTCAAACTGCGTTGCTTGTAGCCCTCGCTAGCTACTTTCCCGGCCCTTTCGAAATATAAACGTGGTTCAACGTTATGCTGTCGGAACAAAAATATTTTAGACGATGTTCACAGTAGACCGGCAGCTTTTCGTACCTGTCCTATTCGATAGGTGACTCTACACTTTAGAGATCGGCGCTGCGCAGCCTCGCTC